TAATGGTGGAGGCCTCTGTGTTCTTGGTGGCTCCTGGAAAGGAGCTGTTCTTTCCTACCCATCTATAGGAAAACTCCTGTAACTATACTGTGTAGTATATTTCTTCCCTTCTCTGTATCTTCTTCAATCAATTTTGTGTAGTAAAAACACATGACAATAAGTTAGTGTGTTCTTTGACGGTCTTATGCTGGGGATCAAAAAAGGCAGTCTCAGTCCCTTGTGCTGTTTAGCAGCATAATACATTTACCCAACTTTCAGTTTCTATTTTGCTGAAGAAGTTCTGCACCATTTACCTATTGCAGAGGAGTCTTGTCAACACTGACTCATAAAGATTAAAAAAAACCCAACAAAAACAACCCCCAAAGCATAAAAATCAAGATTTATTATTTCCAAATACTTCAAAGTTTAAAAGATAGATCCTTGTTTCACATCATATGTGCAGAGAGTATCGACGAAGTATAAATGATGCTTGCTTAAACAATGGGTTTGGTGTTGAGGGTTTGGGGTTTTTTTTGTGGTTACTGTTGTTTGATCCTTTCTCAACCCCTTTGGAAGGTGAGAACCACAGTTTACATTTAGAAAGAAAAGAAGAGAGTAGTGAGGGTGTTGAGGAATGTAAGACTCGAAACAGTCAGTTTCTCAGTAAAGCTAACAAGGTTCCGGGAATTCTTGTCATGCACCAAACTTGTTAACCAGCATATTTGGTCAAAGCTGAAGACAGATTGATCTGTGGGCACTTAACAGAACTGACCTACCTGATGTGGAGATGCTGTTTGAAGTCAGTGACAGTAATTTCCTCAGTTTGCTGCATTGACAAACATATATTGCCATTAAATAGATTCTGTTGATTCCTGACTTAACAAAAGCATGGCTGCAAAGCTGTTGTTGGGGTTTTTGGTGGATTTTTTAATAGAAATTTTCTTCTTTATGATTGCAGCAGAATTTGCAGTTTGAACCTCATAAATACCATCTACCAGAATCCTCAAAAGTGGACACAGAGGAATGTAGTGCAAAGGCTGGGTCTGCACTTTCCTGGGATAGATATGATGACTTGGGGAGGAGTTAGGAGGAGGACTGAACCCTCAAGAAACATACCCATGTTAGGAGTGATTTTCTTCATTGATCCAAAAGACAAACTCCATTCATAAAGCTGCTCTTCAGATCAGCCATAAGGCATGTGTCATCAGGTCTGCACAGCTATGAATGTCTGGCAGGTTTGAGCACAGCATCCTTTCAGAATTACCTAAGCTGTTTTCTCACTGATCTTTGGAAAGAAAGTTATGGCACAGTCTTCTCAAAACAACTATTTAACTTCAAAAGCATAGCATGAAGGTATTAACGCTACAGTTTGTGTATATATGTATAACATACAATCTAAAAAGGTCTGTTTTATCTGGATCCTCTTCCAACTTCCAAGTTGAGAGCTGGGTGATTAGATTGACAACTTTCCTTTTCTTTCTCCCCTCTTCTTTCCAGTTTGGTTTTTTTTGTTTGTTTGGGTTTTTTGGGGGTTTTGTTTGGTTTGTTTTGGTTTTTTTGTTTGGTTTTTTTTGCATGCCTGGAACTCTCTTTCTGGTCTATCTGTTCAAACATCACCAAATTGGCTTTTATTACATCCTTGGTTGAGGAGCTAGATCCTGTAGTTTTAGGGGGTTTTTTAAGTCATGGGAGCTGTGATATTGTTAGACCATCATCAAGTCAGGGTTACTAGGAAATATTTTTTTTACCAGACAAGCAGATACATTTTGAGCAAAAGGAATACACTTGCCACTCTTAAAAGTCTTAAATAGAAGTAGCAATTTGAAAAGTGTTCTTATGAGTTTACTTTAATAATGTTTAATTAATTTGAGTGATGGGAGAGAAATAGCCATTGGTATCTATGTAAATTTTTTATGTTTTGATGACTATGACTTACAGAATATTTGCATTTGTCTGCTTTCTCTTTGAGCTCCATATTACTCAGTGCAAACCGTTAATCAGGAAGACAAGAAAAGCATTTTTCATTTAATATTCACAGTTAGTGTATAGACAAGTGTGGATTGTGCAAACAGCTGGAGGAAGTGGTTACACCTATTGTCCCACTTCTGCCTACTTGTTGCTTCTTGTCTGCGTAAGTATTGCCTTTTCAAATCTTTTGGTATAACTGCTTTTGGAGCTTCTGCTTTACCTATGCTGGTCACACTTACCGAAGTAAACTTTGGTGAGTGGTCTTCAGGCCATGGTCTGTGGACTGCTTAAGGCATCTGTAAAAATTAAGAAGTTAGAAGCCAAACCTGCACATCGTGTGGAAAGAGTATTGAGGTCTTCAAACAAAAAAGTGCTGATGACTACCAACTTAGAGCTTCTGTTTAAGTAGGAAGTTGTTGTTTCAGTTCAGATAGGTGTTGCTACTTCTGCCAATAGGAAGTGGTCTTTCTTGTTAACACAAGCCATACTGCTGTTAAATATGAGACAACAGTAGCTGTTGGAAAAACAGCAGGGACTTGCTGCTGAGAAGAGCTACCCAACAGCCTTCTCTAGGGAAGAATTTCTGTTCTCAATTTTATACTGGTAGACTTCTTTTTTTCTTTCCTCCCTTGGAGTGGCATATTGGTTTGGGGGTAGTGATTCTATCTTTCAAGATGAAATAACTATGTCTTGCTGTTTTAGACAGACTGTCAAGTCCTTTCCTATTGTATATAAGATTCAGGTGTTTATTTCATGTACTTCCATTATGCAGAGTTGTCTTAAAAGAATGAATTAATTCTGAAGAACACAAAACCTCTTGTGAAGCTTGCTGAATGAAAAGTTAGGCTTTAGAGTAGAAATACAGGCTTTTTTTGAGGGACTGTCTGTGTCATTATGTGTATGTAAAAACCCTTTCAGCACTCTTAAACTGGAAGGAGAATCAAATATACCATTCACTGTGGAAAAACGGGGTGTGAACATAACATGTAAGTTAAGGTGTTAAGAAGATTGTATTTTCTGGCTAATGGGCATTGTGGCTAATGTAGTTGGAATACACATAAAGCAATCATAATTTGAAATTCTCTGTAACACAATTATCTAAATAATTAGTGAACCCTAAAATTCTTTGCTGCTGTCTGGGCCCAAAAAGGGATATCTGAAAACACATTGTCCTTACTTGAGGAAAAGATATGATGTTAATGAGTCCATGCTTTACTCTGGATAAGGCTGACAGGCTTAAGGAAAATAAAAGGTCTTGAGGAGTGGTCACGTAGAAGGCTCTTACCAGGGTACAAATTCAGAAGTTTCAATCAAAATTCAGAAGTTTCAGAGTTGTTTTGTTTTACAAAGATGTGAAGAAAGGCAGACATGTTGGAATCTTACCTTGTTTTCTGGCAGCTCGTTGCCTCATTTAGTGGTAGCCTACCAGGTAATTTGGATACTTTCCTCAAACCCTTCTAGGACTTCCTGGCTCTTTATCCACAACCCATTAAGTGAGTTCTGTTGTGGTATTGCTGTAGTAAATGCTTTATTTTTTTGTGTGGGAAAAAGTTGGTTTGTTTGGGGTTTTTGGGGGTTTTTTTTTCCCCTCCAGAAAGTTTTAGAAGTTTCATTTTACTATAAAAATACACTTTGAAAACTCAAAGCCATGTGCAAAATGTGTCTATCAGTCAACACCCAGCTCCAGAGAAAGGACCAAACATTAAGTCATGTTGTAAACCTTGTACTTGGAAAGTAATGGATTTTTCTAGTGTATTTGTCAAGCAGTTCTTGTATCCCAAAAGAGAAAGAGAAATACAGTTCCATGGTGAGAGGCCGGCTTAGCAGAGAACAAGACAAAAAATCATGCAGCATCTTTGTAGCTGCATTGGATCAGAGATGGAACAAGGTTTTTTTCTCATGTAGTTAATGTTACATGCTCTTTAGCTACTCCTCTTATCTCTTTTGTTCAGCTAGAATGATTCTTGCACAGAGTGAAAACACAGAGTTCTTTATAAAATGGCAGCGTTACTAATGTCTAGAGTGTCTTGCATGTAAAAAAAATATTTTTTAGAAATATACAAATAATAAAAAGATTCAGGAAAGTGGTGGGTGGTCTTATTAGAAGAATGAATGGGTTTTGTAGTGCTTTGAACCATGATGTGGAGTGTTAGATGAAATACAAGAGCAGGTAACTAAGTCACAGAATCACAGAATGGTAGGTGTTGGAAGGAACCTCTGGAGATCATCTAGTCCAACCTCCCTGCCAAAGCAGGTTGTACAAGTTGTACAGGGACTTTATCCAGGCAAGTCTTAAATATCTCCAGAGAAGGAGACTCCACAACCTCTCTGGGCAGCCTGTTCCAGTGCTCTGTCACAGAGCATACGTCATACGTTCTTAGCTCTTCTACATATAGTGTGCCAAAAAGAATATCATATGTTCATTTTGGCACACTGTATGTAGAAGATCTAAGAATTAGGTATAAGAAAAGAAATATGGGCCTTGGTAAATGCCAAGTTTTGGGGAAATAAAGAGAATAAAATTTTGTTTTCTCTGATTAATAGTGGATAAAGGATATAAAGACAGATTTAGTAATATCATAGTCACCGTAACTCAAAATATTGGGCAATACACTTTACCAACAGGAATCTAGATCTACTCCTTGCCAACAGAACAGTTAAAGCATTAGAGCAGTAGTGATGTTGGAAAAAATTGGGTCATTGGAGCGTTTAATAGAGCTATAAATGACAAGGAAGATGAGTGATAATTATACTATTTTATGTTTCTTATAGGTAAATGATTATAATTATGCTCATGGATAAAAGGCAGGCAGAATAATAAAGATTATTTTGACTGCATTACATCTGTTTTGCTCTTGAAACTTTATCTTGAGTGAAAAGAGCTGTGTGGTGGGTATGACTGGTTAAGAGTGAGAGTAAGTAGAAATTAGTCTGTATCAAAGATGCTAGTCTTAGTTGATAGCTTAAAGGTTGGCCAGGCCATTCCTACAAATTATAAAGAAGAGCATGGTGTTGATGTGTGTTTATAGAGATTGCCCAAGATGTGATTATTGTGGAGGGCAAAAAAGGTAAGTGGGTGTGATTCCAGGCTGCAGTGGATTTGAACCCAGCTGGACTTCAGAGTGCTGGTTTCTGAGATTTTACCTGAGCTACCTTCTGATTTTGTAGAAGTTTTTAAAAAGACAGCAAAAGCAAAATCTCTGAAGCCCATTTTTTCTTTAACAGCTTTTAGAACCTTGATGTTTATTAAGCATTAAGCAGCATTTAGGTAAAAAGAAATGAAGTTTTCCTTTAGGTATTATATGTGTTTTTTTTCCTGTGGTTGTATTCTGTCAAATTCTGTGTAATATCAATTTTGCATTGTCTGTCTTAAATTTGTATTCACTCTGATGGATCACACCTGATTTTTCTTTATTTTTAGGAAGCAGTTTTGAAAAATAGGGCAGGGTTAAGCTGAGACAGTTCGTGCTTTCTATAAGAAGCCTGAAGAATGTGAAACAAATTCAGGATTTCTTAAGTGTGGTTTAACAGTACCACGTCCAAGTATGTTGTTTTTCTGCAGTGGCTAAATCATTAAAACAACTAAAAAAACCCTGTTGTTACAGTGTGCTTAGGTGGCATGCAGTAACGCTTCAAAGTAGAGGAACACTTACCTTTTAATATGGATAATTCTGCACAAACTAGTTAAGAAAGTTTAAAGGACTGGTGATATTTCTTACTGGGGCATGTTAACAGGCAAGTGAGATGACACTAGTGCAAACTTTGGTTGAAGTATGGATTAATGAAGCTTCATTGCTACATTAGGTGATGCCAGATCTAAGTATGTAGGCTTGATCTGCATCTGGGCTTTGGATATAAAGTACATCTTTGTAATGCACATTTGCACATTCAGTTAAAAAAAAACCCAAAACCTGGAGTCTTCTGTCAGATACAACAGAAACCCTGTTTGTTAAGAACTATGGCTGCATTGATCCATCTTAAAAAAATTTGCATTGTGTTTGAACAACTATAATTTCTATGATTAAATACTGTCTACAAAACATGCAGTAGCCCTCTCTTGTGCTGCTTGGGATGTCCTCTGCCTGTCATGCAGTAGTGTGGAAGTCTGCACTGGGGGATGCATTTCCCCAGTTCAAATTATCATCCAGGGGTTAGGGATGCTTTTGATATGGCAGCATGTAATGATGCAGAATCAGGAAAAGGAGAAATTGTGGGAAAGAAACATTGAATATTCTTTCCACTGAGACTACACTGCTGCAAAAATATGCATGTGTATCTATCCCCTTTCTCCCTGCCCCAACTTGCTTGTGCTTGCTGGTTATTTGCTGACTACAGTTGCATGGTTTCCAGATTACACTGAACTAGAGTCATTTCAGCACAATGTTATCAGCACTTTAAATAATAGTGCAAAATATCACTCACTGTAAGTTGCTGTGTGTCAGCTTCATCAAGGTAATTGTCCATGTATATATGTTTATGTATGAGAAATGCAAGCTATGAATCACTGTATCTTGAAGACAAGTTTAAGGGCAAGGTGGTTACAAACAATTTAGCAGTAATTGCTCCAATGTTTGCTCTATTATGTGATTGTAAGATAATTCTGAAATACAAATACATTAAAGAGGGAGGGGGAAAGAGGTGATCTTGCATCTCAGTGAACAGAGTGTATCTTCTGTGAAAGAACACCATTTTACAGGCTTGCTTCAGTGGTTGCAAGTAAGTATTTGAGTTACTCAGAATATTCCAGTCTTAATAAGAAGCACTGATAGGCCGAAAATGAGATCAGTGGGAGGCATATTGTGCCCTTCGTAGGGAACAGAAATGTATTACGCATTTTCAGTGAAGGTCCAAAGATGATTTTTTTTTTTTTTAATGTGAGACAAAATATTATAATTTACAGACAAATTTTAATTGTTTTATAAGAAATAAACCATAATAAAATAAAAACTATGGTTTAAATATCCAACCAAGTTTGTTCTAGTGAACATTTTACTGTTAAAAAATCCTTTTGTTTAAAAGCCTAGCTGTTGGCCCTTGTGGTAGTGAGTTCATTGCTGAGGTAAATAATTCAATTCTGTGCTCTCACTGCTATTCATGACTTTTGTTCTTCAGATAGTTTAACCACATTCTGTTGCATTATCAGCAGAAAAAAATCTTGAAAATTTAGCTAATCTTTAAAGGTGAATAAATCAGATGTCATTTCTGTTAAGGAAGGAGTATGCATAAACATGTGCTTGTTTACATATTTCACTAAATACAGGCTTTTTTCATTTTACAGGATTTATCTTTAGTGAGTCTGAATCAACTGCCTTAGAACAATTTGAAGGTGGCCCTTGTGCAGTGATTGCACCTGTACAGGTAACATGCATTTATTATAGGAATGGTTTAAAATTATTAAGCCCAAGATTTGTTCTTTTCTCTATATATGTGGAACTAAAATAAATATTAAAAAATTGCAGATCAATCGCATTTTGATTTCATAATTATAGTCTGGAGAAGACAAAAAAATCTCAGTAAAAAGACAGAGGTGGGCTGATTTTGAACTATAATTTTGCAAAATGGATTTGTTTGAGGAAGTGCAACAGGTTGATCCAAGCAGAAGTAACTTTAAAATGGGGAGTGCAGTATAAAGGGGAGAAGTAAAAGGTCAGATATATATGTAATCCTAATCCTTTCTCAACTCTCAAATTAAGAATTAATTAATCCTTAAGAAGGGTAATATCTGTGTCGCAATGGCTGCTTTAGCAAACTGTATTATATAAATACTTGAAGTAATCAGTTTTCAAACCTATGAACTTATATTTAATATGTAAGAAAAAGAGAAATGTTATACTTTTGAAGTCCTAGTTAGCAGAATAATCAAAGAATGTCAGGTGAATATATTTTATTCTAAATATGTGTGTAGGATTTCAGTTGTGCTTCAGATATGCTCAACCAACTGTGATTGTGATTTTTTTGTTTTCTTACTCCAATGTATCTTGTAGGCTACGTGCGTATTCTTAGAGATGCCATTTCTGAGGCAATTCTGACTGCTGTGTAGATAATGACCTGCAGGCTGGATGCATTCTGCTAGAGCAGTTTGTCTAATCTGCAACTGCTCTTCATTCTCTTAGGAGCACCCTGTAGAGACAGGCAGACATAGAGTCATGGGCCAGATTACTTTTTCTGGTAACCTGCTCTTGACTCCTTTTATACACAGATCAAATTCTGCGGGTATGTCTAGGTATGAGTTGAGGTCTTGTCCACTGATACGGGAGATATCAAAGTCATGTAGCAGAGTTAATCTGATATGAACTGGAAAGTATCTGGGTCAGGTAACTGACATCGTGGAATTGCTTGCATCTCTGGTCTGTGTAATGTGATAGTCCTAAAATCTCTGTTTTAGTTACTTCAAGACAGTCTAGATGCTGGTCCCACCAAAAGACTTGTACCACAGGAAGGAGTGCCACTTGTTTAGGTTGTAAACAATCAATAGAAAAGTATTTTATTATCAATTGCATAGTTCTGTGGTCTTCAAACCAGATGTAGCATGTGTGGTCTCTGATGTTAGAATTAGAAGTCTTCTGTTTGTGGGGATTGGAGAGAGTAAAGAATAGGACCAGCCAGCTCCTTAAAGGCAGTGCCAAGTCTTTACCATATCAAATGTTCTTATAGGCACTGTTTTTCCAGATTTATATGTAGTTCAACTTCCTTGAAATCAAGTATTTAAAGCATGTGTGAAAATAGTTAAGTTCTAGCTAGGAAAAGAGGAGGGGATCAAACAGATCTTGCAGTGCCTACTGCTGCTGTGAATTACTAAGAAACGTGTTTGAAAGATCTGTGAAAGAAGAACAAGGTGAGTTTGTCAGGGAAGAAGTGAAAGTTGAAGGAGGTATTTTTAAGGTGCTGCAAATACCTTAAAATACCAGCATCTAGTAGAGTAATTAGAAAGACCAAGAGTCTGCTTTCCAAAGTTTATTCTTTCATTATTCCTTCTCTGTAACTTAGAGCAGATCTTTTTTTTTTGTTTTTGTTTTTGTTTTTTTTAATTGCAACATTAGTGTTGATGGAAAACGAAGCGGGGATATGGAGATGCATAGGTTTTCTTTAATCTCATCTACAAATCACAACTTGCAATAGTTAAAAATGCGGGCTTTTTAACTAGTAAAAGGGTTTGTCTGAGTGACTGGAGTTTCCTGTACTACTCATCAGATACATTACAAAATATTTGTGCCTCCATTGCTGCAGTCTTGCTCTATTTACATAAACATCTGGAGATGTTTATGTAAATATGCATTCTCTGTATTTGAAGTGTTTCAATAATGTAAACAGTAAACAGTGCAGGCTCGGGGTCTCTTACTGAACGATGGGCAGCGTGAAGCCCTTCTAATAATGAGCAAAAATGCTTTGGTATAGAGCTTGTGACATAATGTAAAAGTTTTGTGTTGTCTTGTATTTTAATACTATTTTATGCTTCGATAACAAAGGCATTCCTTTTGAAGAGGCTTTTTACCAGTGAAAAATCTACTTGGAGAGACTGTCCAGGTACTGAGACCTCTTTTTTTTTTTTTTTTTTCTCTTTGTTTTTTCTGTTTGAATTATTTCTAAAGCCTGTCCTCATACAAGGAATTTAAAATATTTTACACTTTCTTTTTGTCTAAGTGTGCTTCCATGCCATTTTATGAGGCATACAGTATGTATGCTACATGTCTCTAAACTCCCATTTGTGACGTCTATGCCTGTCCATAGTACTTCTGTGCTTTATAAATATTTGATTGATATCTATTATTAGGAAAGGGAATGGATTAGAAATCATATTAAAACAGATTTTTCTAAAGACAGCTTTATAATTCTTTGTTCCAATATAGTCAAACAGCAGTTAACAGTAATGATTAATAAGATAAAAGATAACATTAATGTATAAAAAAAGATATTAGTAGCTTATATAAGATACTGATTAGCAGCAATTGAACTCATGTAGGTTTCTGATCTTACAGAAGAGGAGCAGAAGAACCTTCTCTGTCATACATTATGTGATATTTTGGAAATGGCTTGTTCTGATAATTCTGAGTCATACTCTCTGGCAACGTGGATAAGAGGAAAAACAACTGAAGAACCTGCTAGTATTTCTGAAAGCCCTGCAGTATCTAGTCGTCAAGAGGAACAACCTTGTAAGATGTATTTCTATACTAAATTACCCATCACTTAGTGAAGTATTACATTGGTTTTGAAGGGACACTGCTTTTTATAATTACACAGATGGGGTTTTTGCCTTTCTGATTCCATTAGCAGTAGACAGACTTTTGTCTGTTGCAATTAGAGACATTGATCCTTTTTGTCGAAAGGAATGTGCTATCGTTCTAACATTCATTTTTCTCTTGAATTTAAGCAATTTCCATAATCTTTTCAATTTTATTTTGTAATTTATTGGGACCTGATGTGTCTTTAATTTGGAAAAATCTACGTGCTTCCTAACACTAGAGGAATATTTTAACTTGTCACTTCTTGCTTTATTTCAGAAGAGCTTTTGAAGGAAATTCTGCAAAGCTTTATCTGTTCTAAAATATTCTGGATCCCCTGTTATGAAGAATTAGCCTTTTTCCCTTTGATTCTATGGAGTACCAAAACAGCTTAATCGAGTCCCTTTCTAGTAGATCAGCAGAATTTTTTGTACGTTAGAATTTTTCAGTTACCTGCTTTTTGCAAATGTCTTGATTCCTTCGTTAGTTACTGTCATCAAGGATCTGGTGAGCATCATCTGTTGCACTAAGATACAGCATCCATTCATACCTAACTGCTGTGGAGCCAGTGACATGAAAAGTTTATCAGTGCACGTGTGATCATTGAGATGTGTATTTATTTATCTTTTAATAGGAGATACCTAATGTGTTAAAAGATAAGCTTTTTCTTTTAGTTTTTGTTTCCAATGTGTCTCTTAAGAAGTATGAAAAACTCTTCACATGAGAACTTGCTTGTAAAGGTGCCATCTTTTGATGGAAGGAATATGTTATTCAGCAGTTTGTGGCATAACTATGAAGTAAGAATTATACAAGTCGATTTATACCTGCACAGCTTGCAATTAGTAGTGCTGGAGGTCTTTATGTTACAAGTCATCTTCATCTGCTTCTGTCAAATACCCCACGTGCTTTAGAAGGCTCAAACAATAAAAACTAATAATAATTTTTTTTAATAAAAACAGAAGATCACCACATAAAAATTCCAAAGTGAGCAGGGGTTTTTTAATTAAGAAAAGTTGTTATATAGAAAGCTGTATCTACAATTTTCTGTTAAAAAAAATGATCCTTTGAAAGATAATGATAAGGCAGTTATAACTCTGAAATACCCAATTTCTGTGGATTTTCCAGTTGTCTCTAAAGCTCCTGCTCATATTTGGAAGTTTCCTTTGAAGAAAAAGTAAAGCAAAGCCTAGTTATCAATAGGCTTTTACTGTCCTCTTTATTAATATATTGCCTTATTCTAAAGAACTTCTAACTCTGGAAAATGTTCAACAGGAAGTCTTTTTAAACACATAGTCAATTAATAATTACTCTCAGCACTGACACTTAATGAACTAATCAATTCTGTTACATAGATACATTTTTCATATTTCTGTACAAGACTACAGGTTCTGCCTGACTTGTCCTTAATACCTTGGAATGTGCTTAGGAGGAGCAGGATACATTTACCATGAACAGTCTGCTTTTGTCATGAGCAGCGTTAGTTTCTTTCCCTGTTCACATTCTATGTTCTCTGCTAGACACTGAATGTACCTGTGTGTACACTCCTGCATGTACTCTACAGATCAAACAGTATTTTGCCTTATACATATAATGCAAAACACTCTGTGATTTAAGATATATTTGTTAGGGTTTTTTTCTATTCTGTCCTACTATTTAACTATAGACCAGCTTCTTGCCTAGTTAGGCTTGGGTCAAAGATGTAGAGAAGAAGGTATTGTTAATAATGCAGTGTTCTGGTACTGCTAGTGCAAAGGAATACTTCTATTTCTTGCTTGCTATTGTCGTACTTGGTACCACTTAAGGGATGGGTTGTGTGCCTGGAGGAGTATTACAAATACAATTCCATGTGGCAGGCTACAGCTGTTTGGGAATTGATCATGGAAATATATTTATAATAAAACAATGAAATGTGATTAGACACAGCATGATAGAGTATAATTTTTAAATGTTTCTATACAATTGTATTTCTCATACAGCTCATGTTCTATTGCTGTTCGTTCTTTTCCTGTCCACTAAGCACCGTCTCTTTTTTAGCCTTGTTTGGGTTATGTATAGCTACACTTCTCTTCAGGATTTCTACTCCTTTCCCTTTGTTTCAAATAATAGTTCTCTTACCATTTCACTCTGTTCTGTAGTAATGGAATGAAACTGCCTATCATCCTGCTGTGTGAACAAAAGGTGGATTCGAGCACACTTACTGAATGCAATAGCGTTTTTCATCTGCTTTTGTGATGTATACCAGTGACTTGTTGGCCATGTGTTGACTGTAGTAGTGCAAGTTCCCAGGTTCAAAGATTGCTTTATATGATTTAGTCCCTCTAACTTTCTGCTTACAAAAACGTAGTTCTTGGAGCAGAGTTAGTTCCTGTAGCATTTCCTGCAATTTAGATTCATTGTTTCATGTCTTTTTAAAAAAATACCTTGAAAGTACATTTTCTTAAGTCTAGTTTTGCTCTTGGTAACCTAATTTTATCAATTCCGTGTAGTTTTTCAAAAGACAAAAACTAACACTTAAGACTACTACTGCCTTATTTCTGAAGTAGAAAATGAAAGTATTCTATTGCTGGAGAATCAGTTGTATTTGCACATAAGCAATCAAATGCATCTTTCAAAATACAGTCAGAAAGGGCATAAAAAGCCCTTTCTGGAATTCTTGTGGGAAGAACTGTTCAGTAGTATGAGCCCTAATGGCTTCAGGTCCTTAATGAAATGTACGCAGTCAAATTCAGTAGCTAGATGATCACGCATTGTTTAAATATTCAGCATTAAAGCCTTTATCAGAAAGCAGATCTGTCTGTTTTGTGTATTATTCTCCTAGCAGGAAGATGAAGTCCTTATGGATATAGAGTTCACTAAGACTACTTCAGTCTTAATATTTGAATGCCTATAGAATTCAGTAATTACACAATGGCAAGTATAACTTCCTGTTGGTAAAAGAAAACTAGATTTTAAAAGTTAATTTAATCTCCTTGGTTTGGAAATGTTGTGAGAGGACAAAGGTATAAAGCCTGTGTTGAACTTGGGAAGACACTAATGCTGTATTTTTTTCTGTCTTAGACATAACACTGGTTTGAAAAGCTATTTATCCATTATTAAAATAAAATAATGATAATTTATTTAAAAATAAGATGTGTAACACAGTGTAGAATAATTCTACTTATTTGTTTGCAATAAATAAGCATTAAAAGGGGAAAAAAAACCCCAAATGTTAGTAACAAATATATGTTTGAAGAAAAAATACAGCTTACCTACATTGATAAAATGATCCAAATAATCATGCTTGCTTTTCTAGGAAATAATACTTCTTGCTGACCTGCAAATTATATCTCTAGTATGCATATGCTTGATGACTTTGTGACAGCCGTGTTTTGTACAAAATCAACAGCTTAGTGTTTGACAATATTTTCAAGTCTACACACTCCAGTGGCTTTGTGCTTTTAATAGATTGATTAGTCCAGATAGAAATGTTCTCACTAATTTGTATGGTGGAATCTTAATGTTGCAGTAAATTAGTTTGTACTAATCAGTTAAAAAATGTAAATGTCAAGGGAGGATTAAAAATTTTAAATATAATTAAAGCTTGAAAGTATACTAGCTTGCTGTGTGTATCTTGTGTCATTTTTTTGCCATGTGTAGTGCTGAAAAGTGTCTCTTGTGTATAGCTGCCTTGGCTGTCGAAGAGCTTGGCTTTGAGCGATTTCATGCATTAATTCAGTAAGTAATATGTTGGAACATTTAAAATACAGTATTTTGAAGTTACACTGTGTTGAAGTATTCACAGCCCTGTTACACTTGAATTTCAAGTTTAGGTTAGGAGATTTTAGGGGGGGGGTTTGCATTGTACTGTTTAAAATGAAATATTATTTTGAGCATAAGCATTAGGCTTTACAATAAAACCGGAGCAATGTAATGTGCAAAACTGGCCAAATAACTTGTGCATTTAAAGTATATGAACTTAACTAATTAAGATTCACATTTAAGTTAAAGATGTTAATCCTCAATTTTTTATACACAGGTCACAGGTGATACTATCTGTAATATCTGTGATATATATATATATATATGTGTATATATATATATATATATATATACTGAAAAAAAAGTCATCTACTATTTTTCCTGATTTGAGATAATGTAAGAAACATTTATAAAAATGACTGATTTTTGTTTCATATTTTAAACACTGTTCTCTTTTTGAGCTGTAAATACAGAGCTTACAGTTCTAGTGGTCTTTAAAGGTAGCAGCCTTTTATTTTCACAGTGAACAGTTGTAATTGTTATACAAATAAATCCCCAAAGAAGAAATAAAGGGGAACAGAATTTCAAAAAACACTTGAGATGGAAAATCTTATTAATTAGAACTGAAATAACTATGGCTTATTGTATCAGTAGTAATTATAGTTTGTTCCTTAAACCCATTGACATACGAGGAAAGAAGAAAGAGGAGAATATAAAATTTTTGTAACTTTATCTGATCAAAATACTAATTTACTCCATTCCCCTCCCTCCCACTCACCCCCTCGATCTTTGTGGTATGCACTTCAGTTTTTCTCAGTCTTTCTCACTAGAGATGAACGCTCTGGTATACGGCTTTAGAGTGAGCTGAGTGATGGATTTCAGAGCTGTCTTTGCCTGGCATACCTTGTATACTCAATTGATAATGAAAAGTAGTTTAAAAATCTCAAGTGTTAGGCAGAGTAAACCCATCTATGGATATATTTTTGCAGGTGTTTGTTTCTTTTTTAAACAAGACTTACTAAAAGTGTGCAAGAAATCAAAAAGAAAATAACTTGCCTAAGTTTGTCTAAGATAAGCTGAGAGTGTGGTCTAGTTTGAATTACTCAATAAAAACTAATATTTGTGTTCTGAAAAGCAGGATTTAGCTCAAAATATCCCAAGAAATAGAAAGTGTATTACTTTGCTGCAATCTTGATGGATCTCTTCCTTTCCTCTCTTTTTGTTTTACTTTTTTTCTTTTTAAACATGATCACCTGGTGTTACCTTATCATCCAGGCAGCAACCAGATAGTTTCCCAGATGTTAATGTAACACTTGTGGTTTTGAACATTTTGCTTTTTCCAAAGCTAGAATCTAACAAAATAAAATTCTCATGGGAAATGTAATAATTACTTCGAAGCCTGAAAGTTAATCTTACCTGGTTAAGTGGAAATTTTTTTCTCCACTGTGTATTGACTGAATGCCTTTCAGAACACTATATAATGCAAGCATTATTTTAGTGACAGAGTCTATTCGAAATTGCAGTAAGTGTGTTTTGTACAATTACTGCTTCAAGGCACTCAACTCCTTCACAAGCGTATGTAACTTTATGGTTAGTGTTTGCATATAAATGCCATGTTCATTTTTGCACATTGCTCCAGAAGTATTTATTTTCTTCTGATGGGTAAATTCCAATGACTTTATGGCAGTTACAGTAACTCCGGAACAGCTGCTGTGTCATTCTGTGTGTAACACCAGTTTTACTCTGATTTTACTTGGACATTTTCATGTTAGGTATTATTAGTTCTTGTTTGTGCTTTGTGACACTATTGTAATGCTTCATCTTCATACATTCTCCTTTTCTGTTGTTTTTTTGGTTTGTTTTTTTTGTTGTTGTTGGTTTTTTAATATCTTTAGCAAACGAGCATTCAAAAGCTTCCCTGAACTAAAGGATGCAGTTTGGGATCAATATTCAGTGTGGACAAACAGATTTGGAGTATTGCTGTTTCTGTATTCTGTGATACTAACAAAGGTGAGTTGTTTGATGTTTTGTGTGTATGTGTTTTTGTTTTGTTTCTTTGTTAATAGAAAGTTTGGTCATGTAACACTTTTTCTGTAAAACGTGAACACTAAACTCAACTGATAAACTAAGTCAAATTGAGATAAATGGGTGAAGTGATATCTTCATTCATGTTGCAATAAATTTCCAGCATAAAAACCTGAAAGGTTGGTTTTTTGGGGTTTTTTTCACCCTGATCTGGGAGAATTGCAGATTTTGGAAACACCTTTCTTTGTATATGCCTAACATTTCTTATCAAGGGAAAGAAGTGTGGTTAGGTATCAGTTTGTACAGGACCATCAGCCTCCTAACGTTTTACTTTTGCATTCTGTTGTAAATGTTGCACTTCATTCCCTAAGAAAGCAAAAATGTTTGTAATTTTTCTGCAGGGTATTGAAAACATTAAAAATGAAATTGAAGATGCAGCTGAGCCACTGATAGATCCTGTTTACGGTCATGGAAGGTAAGCTGCAAAATATGGTTGCTACCACTTAAAATAGATAAGTGGGCTAATTTTTTGTGTTTCTAAAACTGATCATTCTTTTAGGAAATTATTGATGTTACGATGAAGATTCAATTCTAACTTTATAATAGGTAAAAGCAATACTTAGCATGCCTGTTTTACTGCTTACTCCATTTAGTGCATCAGTTCTGAGGAAATGTTTCTGTTATTGCTGAATTTTCAGAGGAATAATTCTCAAATTCAGGGCTAAGGTTTTATGTCATCATGTTGCTTGAAAGAGTGGAGATCATAGTAGTGTCACTGAATTACAAATACATGCTAATTAAAGGAATATAGTGAGACAATGTCTGCTTAGCTGTCCGGGTAATCATAGAATCATAGAATGGTTTGGGTTGGAAGGGACCTTAAAGATCATCTAGTTCAAACCCCCTGCCATCAGCAGGGACACCTTCCACTAAACCAGGCTGCTCAAAGCCTCAATACAATATTTTTTTTCATTTGTTAGAGATAACAACTTTTTCAGAAATAAATTGTATGTACTTTTTAATAGGCTGTTTCTTTCTGTTATATAGCCAAAGTTTGATTAACCTCCTGTTGACGGGGCATGCTGTTTCTAATGTGTGGGATGGAGACAGAGAATGTTCAGGAATGAGTAAGTTGATTCTAATTAATGCTTGTTCATAATTTTTACTATGAGATGCTGGCCTACAGATTTGGAATGTGTTCTATCTCTGTTTTGGTAGTCTCCTTATTTACTGTCCTTTGATTTAATTACTTGCACAAAGTATCTGATGTTTATATCAGTGAATAAAGGATTACCAGCTACAGGTTGAAATTACAAGGTACCCAATGACCTGGATGATGGAGGGGAGTGCAGTCGCTGCAAGTTGGGAAGGTTGGTAAATACATGGGAGACAGAGACACTATTCAGAGCAGGCATATCAGGCTAGAAAAATGGACTGACAGGAACTTAATTAAATTCACCAAAGTCCCACATCTGGGATGGAATAAGCCCATGCAACAGCTCAGGACAGCACTGGCTGGCTAGGAAGCAGATTTATAGGCAAGGACCCAGGGTCCTGTAGGCAGTGAGTTGCACATAAGTCATCTATGTGCCCTTCTGGCAAAGAAGGCCAGCTGCATCTTGGGCTGTATTAAGAGGAGGATAGCCAACAGTTGGAGGAAGGGGATGGTTCTTTCCCTCTATGTGGCACTTGCGGGACCACCTCTGGAGTGATGTGTCCAGTTTTGGGCTCCCAAGTACAGGAAAGACATTGATGTAGTGGAGTGAGTCCAGTGGAGGGCCACCAAGGTTAAGGAGCTTTCATGTTTCTTGCATTCCATTTTGCAAACAGAGAAGATTATTTGAAAGCAGGAACACTTTGAATTCTGAAAGTGTTCACATCCTCTCTCCCCCGACTACAAAGTCCATTTCACTTTCATCAGCATGTTCTTTACAAGGATTTTCCATCATCTAAGTCATCACTGAAAAGACTGAGTGGAAGTGAGGTTCTAAACAGGTCCATGCAAGACCCGAATCAAAGTGCTCTGGTTTGACAGTGAACAAGTAGTATAAACTCCTTTGAGACTTTTTAGACTTCCACTTGGTTATGATTCTGTACAGGCTGTACTTCAGTATCAGTCATTTGGATATTATATCTAATTCTTCTGACCCCTATTTGGTAGACTTCTTATCAGGGCGTTTAGATTGGATTATTACAGTCTGTTACTGATGAGCCTATACTGGATGGTGTTTGTTGGTGTTTGTGGGGTTTGGGGTTTTTTTCGTCCTTCCTAGTACATGCAAATTGATTACTAAGTTGTTTCAGGACTCTTTGAAGGTAAAATCATCCTTTCTCCTGGGTTTTTCCTCTAAATTTTTTTGTTGTTTTTGTTAGGGTAAGTACCCTGTTTTCCCTTTTCTAGTCTCCTGACACCTGCTTTATCTTTGATACATAAGCTAATCATTAATGGTTCAGAGACTTATTTTGTCTAGCTACTTAACTGTTATATAATGAATTTCATTAGGATCTGGAAGCTGGAACACAACTGTCTTACAGTTTTTAGCCATTTTTTTCCCTTTCTTTATGGCTGACACTGTGATCTCATTGTTAATCTTTTTGACTATATGACATCATTTACCTTTTTGTGAATTAAAGCAAAGATGGCTTTGAATACTTGTATTTTCTTTGTTTTGTTTAATTTTGTGTTTTATCAGTTAATTCGTACCCTGATTCATGCTGTATGTATAGAACATTGTTGCCATTTATCTCCCTGCTTTCTAACTGAAGTTGGTTGTAATTTGTTTTCCTGGTTTTATCCCTATATTCTCTTCAGTATTTTTAGTTTTCTCCTTTTGATTTTTACATTATGATTTATCAGTCTGAATTGTTAGATTATGATCAATCAATCTGAATTCTTCTTGCAACTTTCCTTTACATGGGGATAACTTGCTGTTCTGCAATATAATATATCTTTTTTTGAACCTTGCAATTCATTTCCTCGTTTGTCTTTCAGTTTATCTTTCTCATAGACCTTACTAGTTAGTTATCCAAGTTGGATTTTTTTACTTTTTTTGAGAATACTGAACTGTCTTTGCACATGATAGTATTTCAGATTTAGTTTCTGAGTCAAATCTGCCCTAAAAATCCAGAACCAGAACTCCCACAGAAACATCTGTCTCTTTCTGGGGGGAGAGGAGGAACAGAAAATAATCTTTAGTACATCTTCAGAATCTGGTATTATGTGTCCTGTTAGTTTTTCACCAGTTGAGTAATCGGACTTCACTCATGTTGGGAGTCCTCCATTTTCTTCAAGTCAAAACCAGTTTATTCATTGTCTTAAGTCTATAATCAGCATCTATTACGAAGTGATTTATGTAGTCTATCAAAAACAAGGACAAAGAACAGCCTGTACTGTTCACATCTTAGGCAAGACTGAATTTTGGATACATTGTCACATTTCCTTTATCCCTTTTTGTCATCTTTTCTCCTTCAGTCACTTCTCCTGTATTTTTAATCTCTTTGGCTGTAGCCTTCAGCTTCCTTTCTGCCAATGCTGTGAGTTTCTTATGTAGAAGGGTTGCAGGTGTCAAAACAGCAAGAACTGAATGTGTTTGCTTACTATTTTTTGAAGTTGGCTTCCTGTATGTTTTTCTGGTTTAGTTACTGGTCGTTTTCCTTAAATTCCTCTGGTCGAGGAACTACCAGTTGGAAGGTTTGACATTAGTATCGTACAGATTTAATTGCTAGCACTACTTGATTTTTCCATATGTAAACATAATGGAAAGAGATTTCAGGTACTTCTGTGATCAGATGTAATCTGTAGATGAACTTCTGAAACTGAGGGACAGGAAAGGTATCCTGGGCATGGAGGAAAGGTGATGCTGAAGAACTGCGGAAAGCAATGGATGTGATGTGGTTTGTGGCATATTTGCAGGGGCAGTAATGAAGCAACAGTGAGAAGATTCAGCCACAATGCAGGAACAGGAAAAATGCTAGATAGGTGATGCTATTATCATAAGTAAACATATTTACTAAATTGAATTTTCAAAATGCCACTTCCCTTACATTTTTATTTGGAAGTTATGTAAAGACACTCTACCTCTTGTTCAACTGTTTAGATAAGCAATTTTTAATTAATAAGTAAATCTTTAAAATGGTTTTAAAATAATTTTAAAAGTTACTGTCAGTAATTTTATCAGTGACAGAGAACATACTGAATTACAAACTTGAGGAATTACCAGGTATTTTGCAGATTATACTCAGAGCTCTGACTCTTACAGTACTGCATATTTTCCAAATAGGGAAGGAGTTATTAACTAGAATTGTTCTTGGCCAGCACTGGTACAAATACCAGTGAAATGATCCGTCTTCTTTGACCGTCTACATATTCCCCTTTAAACCTTTCTTCTTCTAATTTCTTGCCACAATTATCCACAGTAGGAAGATGTGGGAAGGTTATTTTTTTTTCCTCCTGTTTTAAAGACTATCGTTCTTGTGTGAAGTGTAGCAATTTAATATGAGTACAAGTAATGCTGCAATTGCTTTTTCCTAGTGACAAGAATTTGTGTTGTTTCATGTTGTCACTAGGTGGCGGTGCTCTGATAGGGTTGGTAACAATGTCGCTACATTTTAAGACCATCATTAGTTTGGGCCTGACTTTTTTTTTTAAAAAAAAAAAGCTCCAGTTTTCTCCCTTTTTAGAAATCTGAGTACTTTGGAAAAGTACTTAAAAAAAAAAAGGGATGGGGGGGGAAACTAACTTTCTGAAAGGAGACATACATATTCATTTTCTTAGACAATCTTTGGCGTTATCAGATTTCTTCAAGGAGTATTTTTTCTTTCTGTGGGGTGACAGTGTTCACAGGGATGAACTTTGATTTAGGGCAGCTAGTCTGCCTTTGTTTCCTCGTCAGTCATCTAAGAATGATTTTTGCTTTTGTGTCTGGCTTCTCTGTTGACTAATTCTGAAGGAGGCATGGATAGACCAGTGACTACAGGCTAAAGTTAACCTGATAGCTTTCAGATTCACTATCTATGTACTAGCTATTCAGGATATTCACAGTCTGCAACTACTGTTGAAGCGAGGATCCCAGATCTCTCTAGCTATAAGTCAGAGTTGTCATGTAGTTATCTGTCAGGGGAACAAAATACTTAATAATCTGGTTTGTTTTTTTTCTGAATAATTTTCTGAATAGTAAATATTATTTTTATGTGACTCTGCTGTTCTGTTTCAAGCATCAGCTTCTAAATCTAAAGCCTTTGTTTAGCAAACTGAACTTTACATTGATTTTTGTTAATGATTTTTAAGAAATACATGTAATGTGTGAAAATTATTTCTTTAGTGTACTGTTCCTTACTTCTGACATTCATTTCTCTTCATTAGCACATATAAACATGCTATTTCTGAGCAATAGCTATTGCCTAGTTTGAAGGATCCTTCACTAGTTTTTTAATTGGGCTAGCTCTCTTGCCCTCAGCCCAAAGAAAGGATAAATTGCCTCAGCGTATGGCAGTTTATAACAACACAGCTGTAAGTCAGTGCGGTAGTGGTGTTCTGCAAGGTTTTATCTATGCACCCCTGAATGTTTTTATTTCCAAGCAAGTTTTAAGATAATCCTTGAAAGCACGTTTTCAGAACAAAGAATGATGCACTGTGAAGAGAGCCTTTTAATATGTATAGCTGAGAACTCAAAGGAAGGAGTTGCACTTCCAGGCCACAAAGGTAGTGAACAAGCAAGTGTTTGTAAGTTTTTGGGGGTTTGTTTTTTGGAGTTGGGTTGTTTGAGGGATTTTTTTTGCTTGACAGTAGAGGAAAAACTTAAACCACTACACTAATAACTGTTCTGCATTGTTGCAAAATTCAGGGAGATAAACTTGAAGTTGGTGAAGGAAGCATGGCATGCCTAGTTCTGTGAGTCACAATGAAATGCAGAGTTGATTTCTGGCAGTCCAGAAATCTTTTAAATTTAGAACAGTTTCACTCACTTGCTATATTTCTGAGGCTTTAGCCCATGGATAAAGACATCATAGCTGTTGTACATAAATGTTCAATGTTAAAAAATGTAGTTGAGAATTAGTGTTTTAGAAAGAACTTTCAAACATGAAAGTCAGTGTTCCCTGAAAAAAGAAAATACAGATCTTACTAAATTGATTATGGTGTATGTTCCCATGTGTATTTGCAGGATCAGGTGTGTGCTGCTTTTCGTTTAGACAATGTTTACAGACCTAGCAGAACTGTTTCAAGTAGACAGTATTTGCTCTGTTGAGATGATGTATATGTAAGCCCAGAACTTCTTAAAATCCTTAGGATTATAACTAATTTCTAAGCCTGAATTTTGAAGTGCTTTTTCATTCTTTATTAGAGAGCCTCAAATAAGGCTCTGTAAGTGCTCTTCCAATCAGTAGTACATAAATATTTCTGCTATTCCTGACAGCTGTGTGTGTTCGAGAGCTGTATGATACATTAAATGGAAGTCAGTACAGAAAATCAAACCGAGTGAATGCTTTCTTTCCTACTAACAAAACTATTACTTGCAAAATTATGTTTTATTATTCAGAATGTGAAATGATTAAGATAAATCTAGCCAGGGAACTCTTGGAAGGAAAAAAAAAATATATATATATACCTCCCCTCCTTCAAAATAGGTATTTTTCTTAAATTTTTCTGAGAATGATTTTGGTGTAAGTAACAAGTATTTCATCTCCTATTAACTTTGGAAAAGAGGCTATAAACAGTAAACTTTTAAAACCATCCATTGGGCTCTTCTTATTTTATAAAGAAGGAAATTTTTAAACATTTGTCGTTTTTTTGCTGTGCCTTGATGATTTGCCATTGTTGCGAAAACTGCATAACTTTAAAAAATGTTGTTACTTGACTAGTTTTGAAAGTAAGAAAAAATGACCAAAAAGACACTTTGCAATTTTTCTTGAATAAATTTTGTTTTGTTTTGAACAGAACTTCTTGGTATACATAAACAGGCAACAGTAGGCTTTTTGACATTGATGGAGTCTCTGAGATATTGTAAGGTAAACCGTTTTCTGCGTCATTTAAAATTTTTCTTTCATTAAGGTGATGTGGGCTTCTTTGACAGTGTTACTGAAAGCTTCACTGTGTACAATTGGAGATACTAAAGAACTTTCAAAGTATGTTCAAATTAAAACTGAGATATATTAAAACATATAAAATTGTTAAATGCATCTTGTTGAATAAAAGTTGTTTGATGCTATTTAAATTAGAACTTTATTGCACCAATTTAATATAGGTGGTTAAAAAGCTTATGCTTTTACTAAGAAAATGTTTAATGCAAGTTACAGAGATAGTTCGAAAACTGTCAAGTCCCAAAGTAGCTTGCTGTTGTGAATTATGCAGTTCTGTTGTTCACTTTTTATGCTATCACTGTCTTTAATTTAAAATAAATAGCCATAAGTAAAGATGGCAAAACTACTATTAAGTAAATATATTCTGAATATAATATATTCAAGACCTAAGTTACTTTAGGTATTCATCTGTGAACATCTAAAAATAACTGAAGTGCAACCTGATCCATGTTGTTTCTTCCTGTTGTAACACATTTCCTTGATTTAAGATTTTTATTTGAGAAATTTTGTGCTTTACAAATACTACTTTTGAAACAGCAGTAATACTCTTAATTTCAAAAGGCCTTTTGGTGGTTCTTTGCTTCCTTTTCAATCTCTATGTTGAATTGCTTTAACTTAGCTCAGGGTTAAAGAGGATTACGTAGTTTGCAAAATGTTGGTGTTTGCAGAATGTTGGGACTGTAACTAACTGTCCCTTCATTTATTAAATGTGTAAATTCTGAATTGATTCATCCAAAACCAGCTAAAAGTCAAGTGGACTTCTACCTCATTTGTTGTCTGATTACAGCATTGTTGAGCATAGGAGTGTTTACTTGTGTGCAGTGTTCGAAGCAGGTCTCCAAGGTTGGAATACGGAATATTGTTGATACACTTTCTCGCTCAGGTCTTATTTCAGTTAATTGACATAAGCTATGTTGTTTTCCAAGTCAAACAGGAATCAGTGATCAAAATTAGAATATTAAGTGGTTTACGCTGTTTTGGCGTTTTGCTGAATGCTTTATATTAGTTTTCAGAGAAATTGAGATTTCAGTATCTGAATTATCATTAACTTGATGACTGACTAGATGAGTTTTCTGGGTTTGCTTTGTGTTTCTAATTTTGTTGTACTTTTTTAGGTTGGCTCCTATTTGAAATCTCCAAAATTTCCCATTTGGATACTTGGCAGTGAAACACACCTCACGGTCTTTTTTGCCAAGGTATGTTAGATGTGATTTTTAGTAACCTCAGGCAGATAAACACCACATAAATTCAAAGCTCAGATCCTGCTACAATGTGAGTTTCATGTGGCTTTAATATAAAAATGTAGTCACCAAACCTTTTAATTAAGCCTTCCCTTGAAGGCAGTTGTTCAAATGGTTTAATGTTATCTCATAAATTTTAGTGAAGTCTTTCCGTTCTAGTTTAATTTATTGGGCTGGGGAAAGGATATGCTTTAGAACACCATAACTGGGATAAGTACTGTCTTAAATTTCAACAGTGGAAGAAAGATAAAAAGGAAATTGTTATGTGTAGATGCCTGTTAGTAGTTTAATCTCCCTGACAGTACTTCACAATTTTTAATCTATAGCCATAGGTTTTTTGTTCTAGATTAAAAATAGATATCAGGACTGTTATTATAATTCCTTGTATTTATTCTATCAGTTATGCACTATAATCTGTGGAACATATAAAATACTTTTGAGATGAGTTCTCAGTTTAAAATCTTAGACCAAACTTTATGAGGAACAGGAAAGAAATCTTCAGAATGAAAAGAGGAAAATGGAGTGTGGAGCCAAAAGCAGTTCAGATTAAGTCTGAAAAAAACAGACGCAGCTTTAATTCTTTCAAGCTGCATATGATTTACAAGAGCCTAAACATGTTTATATAGAAGAACATTAGGCAATTATTAAGGAGAGTAGTAGTCACTTTTTTAATTAGCTGAGTAATTGGGTCTAGAAACCTAGAAAAAAGCAATCTTCCTAGGTTGCTGTCACTATGGACAAGTAGTGTGGGGAACTTATGGAACGGAACAGAATCTTCATTGCTATCTCGGGGACTTAATTCTTGAGCATGGAGGTTCAACAAGCAAAAGTTTTACTGAAATTATGCATACCACCCTACTCAAAGAAGTTGGATGCTGTTATTTAGTACTCAAGTGCTTCAGTCATATTTGTACATTTGATGTGGAGTACAGCAATAAACATTGTCCTCATAACTGTGGAATCAAAGATCATCCACCTTGCTTTTCTATCTCGGAACATTTTGAATTAAATACTGTAGACATCTGTTGCTGTCTGCCAGAATATATTTGCATTACTTTAAGTGTGGTCTGTTCTGCTGTAGCTGTGACTTTCAGAGAAATTTTTTTCAGACATACTTTCTAAAATAAATAAATCTGTTCATAGCTGCCATTCTAAAACTTTCTACATTTTCAGCGGATTTTAGTGAATGAGCAAAATGCAGCACAGCATCTTTGCGCTGAAGATCACACTTATAGCTTAAAAATGAACTAAAGTGTGTGATTTGGCTTAAGTTCTCTTGTAACTTTTGCTGCATGAAATAAACAGTGACAACTGAGTCAATTCCTAGTTTTAAGGAGAATACCAGTGGGTCAGCAGTTTCCTCCATTACTAAAATAAAAGAGATTTTACTCTATCTGCATGGTCTTCATCTCCACATCTTGATTGTCAAAACTTAACTTGGTATGTACAGAAAGTTTACTAGCCTCATTTTACTATAAGGAATTGGAGGTAGAAGGAAATTACTTCAGAAATAATTTCTTCCTTAAAGCAGCAGTTTTGGTTGAAGCACATTTTATTGAAGCGAATATCAGTAGGTTTTCTTCCTGGGACGTAGCTGATCTGTCACCAAGCAAACAATTGTTTACAGCTAGATATTTTGGAGGCAACCATGGAGACAGAACAAGTTGAAATGCAGTGGGTAATCTCCTATACAAAACATAAAAATATAAGAATACTCATCACAATGTTTTTATCCACTGTCACCCACTTCAGTGGAAGTATTCTTTCTAGACAAAAGAAACGAGAATCTGGAAACATCTGAAATGAAGCTTCACCTCACATCTTCTATATTTTAATTTCTAAGGTACACTGTATTGAGCAAAAATACTACAGCTTGTTCTGCAGATGAGTATGTAATGAAGTTGGAAAGGAGATATGAACATTTGAATTACCTAAGTAGTTCTTCAGAACTCCGATACTTAGGTGTATCATAATAGAGCTGAAAAAACCTGTGAATAGTTGGGAAGCAGGGCAAGTGTTAGCAGGGAACCGTAATTAGTACCAGCATATTTTCTTTCTTCTAGTTACAGCTGTGTGTGTATAAGGCCAGAGAGTTACTTGATAACTTTTACTAAAAAAATAAGTGAGGCAATTACTCCTAGTGGTAATGGACTTTGCATTTACAAGGTAGATTTTCCCTCAAAAACTGAGTATGTATGTTCTTCATAGGCAACTAAATCCAAGTAGCCATCATTTCTGTCTCTTCCTGCCCTCACTTCCTTTCAGTGAATAAGAAAACTTAAATGGCCTCAGGCCAACAAAAATAAACAAGGAAGCTTTCATCTGACACATTTCCCTGCATGCTCTGTCAGATGGTGCTAACACAAATAGACAGTATTGTAAATGTCCTCTAAAAATCAACTTTAAAGTTACAGTCTTTTTTTATTATTATCATAGGGAAAAGAGAGAGTGAGAAGTGTGGCAGCTCTTAAGTCACTTAATGGAGGGATAAGGCTGTGATGCTTTGGATCGAATGCTGTATGGTCAGTTCTTGGTTATTTTTATGATACTTGTATTGTAGGAAGTTATGACAAGCTGAGAACTTTTCAGAACTTCTAAGAATGTCAGAGCGTGGTCAGACAGCGTATAAAAGAATATCAGCAGGTCAAAATGTTATGTGAAGTATAACAAGAAAATGTTTCAGTGCAAACAATAGAAAGAACAACATCAAGTTAATAGCTACTTTTTAAACACTATCTGTTGATATACGAACTCATATGGTCTGGCAGTTTGAATTCAAGAATCTTTGAAAGTGAAAAGAGAGCATGGAATGAGTGTCTGTCTGGCAATTTCAAGTGATTGAAATGGTCCATGGGGACACGTTGGAGCTGTGTAAGTTTTTCAGAAATTCCCTTAGTCTGTTCCCAGGTCTTGGAGCACACAGGCCACAACAGAATCAGCTATCATCCATTTTCAGTTACAGCACTGTAGCCTTTATAGACTTGAAGAATCAGATAAGCAGAGGAAACTCCTGGCTGAGACATCTGAATAAGTTACAAATGACTGCTTTTCAAGAAAAGTGTGCCTGTTTTGCTGTGTTAGGACTGTACTTATGGTTTCAGATTACGTTTTTGTTATTTTTCTAACTTTGATCACTATAACCTATTCTACATATTCTCAGGGCCCTTCTTCAGCATCCTTGATAGTATTGTCTCTCAGAAGAAAGAACATTCACTTCTCTTCCTAAACAATCTTTTTGATCAAAGTTCAGCAGAGGGACACCTGAGCAAACACTGACACTGCTATAGGAGATCCTGAATTTGAGTCAGTGGTATTTTACCAGAACTGGGCTAAGGGGGAGTGTTACTGGGCACAGCATTTAATCTCAGAATACCAACAGAGAATCAGTGCCGTGGAAGAAAATAAGATGCATGTGTGAAAATACAACCATTACTAGTATGTGTTAACAACTCTGGTCTCTACAAAAGTAATCTATGTATAACCAAATAATTTATACTTGTCCATTAACTTAGAACTCTCCTACTTTGGGAAGGCAGTGAAAAATACCTATGTCTTTCCTTTTCTTTTTTGCTCCCATGACTGGTGAATGCAAGTAATCAGATTTTGAAAAAGTTTTTCTTCATCAGAGAAGAAATCAAAATCAGATTTTGAAGAATTCCACTTCAGGAAATGGTTACAGAGTGTGTGGTTTCAGAGTCTGTAGTTCCCATGAGTAAGGGGAATTGCTTCTGGTTGGGACAGTCTGGATATCTAGTAGAAAGAATATAGATGCGTGAGGCAACTACAGAAATAACTTCTGGGATAAAGTAGTGCTTAAATTTTCTGTGTGCTGATTAAGAGCAGGGAGACAAATGTTGCTCTGTTCTTGACAATAACTCTGACCTGGCTGAATCAGCAGTGAATCTTCAAATACTTCTATTAGCTGTTATTTTAAAAGCTCCTCTCTGCAGGAAGCGACCCTTTTTAAAAATGTTAGAGCAGGGTGTTTCCTGTGGGATCTGTGGGCCCCCAAAGAGAACTGAAGTTATTCTACTCTACTAAGCTTCATAGTGTAAATGCTGTTGCTAAATGAATTTAAATTGTTCTGAATAATGCAGTAGTATATAAGTAGCTTGCGCCAAATAAGTTTCCTAGCAGAAAGGCCAAATCTCTATAGAATAAAGGTTTCATAGTTGACAGGGAGCACCTCAAGATAAAATACTTCTGTGAAGTATCTACCCTATTGTACCTTTGCAAGATCACAGTGCATAACTGTGAAAACTTACTCTGCTCTTTGTGGGTCTACTCCAATTTTACTTGCAGCTGAATTTGTTTTTAGTACAGATGTGTGCCTAGATGTGCCTGTTTATAGGAAAAAACAAACAAACAAACAAAAAAACAGTTTCTCTGTACATTGTTTGTTTGGGAGGCTTCTGATGGGGAAACTTGTGCGTGCTTCTTTCATTCACTTGAGTGATTTTCACACCAACATTTGTCCAAGTAACTTCTAGATTTTTGTCCAAACTTTTCATTGTAGTAGAAGAGACTTAATATGTGATGCAACAGTGTATGGTGGCATATTTGTTTTTAATGAAACAAGTTAATTACATTAATTTACCCAAAGTTATGGTGGCTTCATTTTCTCTAAAGATAATAAATCTGGAGCGCTGTCATTTACAAAGTCTCTGTATTTCTATTTCTCAGTTTTTTAATTAGAAATGTAGTTTTGGCTTTAAGTGTAGGTAGCTTTCATGAGGAACTTTAGCCATCATACAATTTTTGTCCTTATTCAGCAGAAACATTTCTATCTCCTTTTATTTTCTCATTTCACACATTGTTGGAATGAGCAGCTAGCTGTGAGAGCTGCAAGGAAAAATCTGATCTCTCTGTCTCCTCTTAGTTTTTGATGGTCTGTACTTTGACTGTACTAAAAGAATTTTTAAATAGTGGAGAAACCAAAGCTCCTCAGAGTGGCT